AACATCTGTTTCCGGATTTAAGTCATAGCTGTGCAAACTTTGTGCAGTTTGCTTTTGCTCAATTAGCAAAAGTTCTGATCACACAGCAAACTGGGGTGAACAACTGAAAGCGAAGTGCAAACGCAATTTGATTCAAACTTTTTTCTACTGGACAACCACACCACTTCACCCATTAAGACTGTGTCATCTAATTTAAGTACATGTTGCTGAGTCGCTGCTTTTACTGTTATTTTAACAAGTTTCCAAGTCGATTTATTTTAGTGCTGTGTCTTTAAACATTGCTTCATGTCCAAGTGTATCTGAATAATGTTAACCAGTGGCTTCTGAAAAGTGCATGCTGAGGAGCGGATACACAGAATAATCAACGCTACAAAACAATAACAGCTAGGAGATTTTAACTTGACCCTAAAGTGACCCTAAAGAGTTACTTCAATACTATTAACACTAAGCTGAAGTAAGATGTGGGATCATTCCATCTAAAAACATCACATTTTCTGCTCAGCCACCTGTGATTTGCCTGAAAATGTTACAGTTTAATTCGGACAGAAATGTGTGATTACTGGGAAACGTTAACCTTGCAAAAGACAACTGGTGCACATTTCTAAACGTTTTAAAGCTGTATTCCACAATAAGATCAAATAAAAGATGCAGAATCCCTTTTAAAATGCAATTACTACTCACCGAAATGAAGAAAATGCTATTTTTTATTCAGATTTTGTGATGATTGATCAAATATGATAATTATGTTAAGCTGTACCCAGCAGAGAGTCTTCCCCAGATAGTACAAAATTCTGGAGTTTCTTGGAGTACAAGAACTTTACTTAAAACTGAGAAAATAACTGTTAAATATATACATATTTAGCCTGCTTTGTGGGCATGAACATTCAGGCTTATCATTATGCACTTTAAAATATACTGAAGACCTCCGGTGAAGCGAGCCTGAAGGAATCCTGATCTGCAAGAAGAGACACCGTTTGAAAATGCAATCTCAGCTTTCTGAGTAAAGAGAGACAAACCACAATAAAGACACAAACAGACTTTCAAGTTAGATACGTGGCACCACAGAGTCACTCTGCTGTAAAGCGCTGCATATAAAAATGCAACAACCAGAGTCTCATACAGAATTCAGAAAAACCATCAGCAGCCATCACGCTGCTAATGAAATTCCGCCGAAGCTGCACTAACTTCTGTTTTTTAGCATCGCACGGGACGAGATGTTAATCAAACTGTGGCTCACGCAGTGCGCTGAGCACGCCGCGCTAGACTGAGCACCGCAGGAGGAAACGCAGCTGAGACTCGGCTCTATTGTATGAAGGCAGTGACGGACAACCACATGCTATGGCCTCAAAAACAAACTCCTACAGTTGGTTTCCAGAATGCGCTCATACACACCAGGAAGTAGAAAAAAAACGCGAACAAACAACCCCCCTCCCCACATGGTCGGAGAGACAGACAGATAGAGTACATGAGCCAGACAGAAGAAACCTGAGAAAAACACATCCTCACAGGTCAAGACACCCACACAAAAAGCGTATGTAGTGTCGACAGTCTCGAAGTGTTTATAAGAGCTTAGCACCTCAGCACTGTGTTTTGTCAATAGTGATGCACCACAGGCCGAAATCCAAGTCTAATATCTGCGGTAATATTTGCACTGCTGACAAAAATCGAATTCTTTATTTTTGAATTGGCTGTGCGTCTGAGACGCACGGACTCCGTGCACAGCTGTCAAGCTGAAACCGCTGTAACAATCAAGTGTCACACCTCCCGTCAATCAAGGCGAAGGCTTTTACCGGTGACCGAGGGGTTTGAAGGGAATTGGACAGATCCAATTTTAATCAAGTGGATTTTGGTTTACGTTGGAGTGTGATGGAGTGGCCGAGGTGCTCGACTTTGGCTGACAGTTTGTGTCCCAGACTGTCCTCCTGCCTGTGCTGTGTTTGTTTACGTAGGTCTAAGACGCACACGGCCTATTTGTCAGGCTCCTGACATGTGTCTGAATCTACCGCTTCTTGGGATCAGATGTTGACTGGACCTTCCCTCGGCCTCCATTTCATCGGTGGAGATAACTTGAGTCATATAATATCGTGTCAGCGGCTGCTGGTCTGAGCGGTATGGTTGACCCTGATAACAGCACTGAGCCCACTGCTTTCAGCTACCTCAATCACAGCACATAGCCTTGAGTCTGCTTCTATAATAGTCTGTCTGCCCTTCACTTGTTTACCGCAAACTTTAACTCTGTCACACTGACCCTGTTTTACACATCTGAGGTGCGTTTTGGTGACCGTTCTCCATGGATGCGCACAAAAGGGGTAACATTAAGTAAGCTTTTTTTAATGTCTGACTTTGTACAGATTTGCGAGTGGGTTCGTGTGTGTACTGATAGCTCCTAAGGCTTATCTCACTGACACTTTATAGCCTGAAGCAAATCAGGCAGATTTCAGCAAAGCTAGGACAGGCTTTAGTCCCTAAAGCAAAAATAAACACAAGTTTATTAAATAGTGAAGGAGTAGTGAAAAGTATCTTTCATAATAATCTCCAATGTGATGGGAAAAAACTTGTTCTGGGTGCAAGAGTCCTACACCTTTTTTCCCCGCTTTTATACAAAAGAGGGAAAGTAAGAAGGTTGGAGAAGACGACAGCAGCAAAAAGTTGCCCCTTTATACCAAAAAATGTCCTCAAATAACTGTCTTATTTTGCTCAGGTCTAGTTTGAGTTTATTGGCGCCTCTTAAAAAGAAATGGCATGTGAGTGACCTGCTTTCTGTTGTTTTTGCTCGTCCAGAGGACACAATGATGACTTCTGATCACTTTCTCTTATAAACATTTTATCAGAGGCTCCAACAACAGCTCACTTAGGTTTCAGGTTTTAATAATAAAACCTGGCAACACACACACAAAGTTTGAAAGCACAAAGTTAAACATTTAGTTAACTCGTGCACGCCCCAGTCTAACCATTTACATATTTCTTACAGTAACCCAACAGGCTCGACTGCACCGTGGCGTAACATAACAACGAAACATTGAATTGTCCGGCAGAACTATGTGTCCCCACAAATTTAGCACATAATCAGTTTCCTCACACTTTTCATACGTGCTATAGCTGACGCACAGCACGCAGAGACCGCACCATGCCCCCCCAAAAAAGTGTGGGCAACTTTAACGAGCAACTTACCAGCTCTGTTCCTCCCTTTCCCTTGAATGCCCCTCCTGCCCACCAAGCTCTGTTGCTGCTGTTGCACAAATTTCAGCTTAATTTCATATAACAGGGCAAAGGGTCGAAAGTATTGTCCGCCGGGATCCTTGTATATTTGATGCTTAACTTCATAAAAGAAGACTCTAAACTTCTTCTTTCCTCTCCCTTTCCGTCCCTGCCTCCTCCCCCTACCTCCCCCTCCACGATCACGACAGAAGTCACTTCCGCGAACAACGCAGCGTCATCCGGCTCCTCTCTCTCTCTCTCTCTCTCTCTCTCTCTCTCTCTCTCTCTCTCTTTCTTTCTCTTCAGTTCCCCCACTCCCGTGCGAGTGTGTGCGTGCGTACGCGCGCGCGTACCATTTTGCACCTGGACCACTCAGTGTAGGTTGCGCAAAAGTGGAAACCCTGACCGCCAGCCATAAGTCTGCAGCTGAACATGTACTTTACCGTAGATAAATACAGCGCAAGAACAGCTGTTTTACGCCTGAAGTTTTGCTTTTTCCAGCATTTAGAAAGAGACCGCGATTACCCGCATCCGCTACCAAAACAAACCATCAGCATCAGCTCAGGGCATAAGCTGCTGGTCCCCGCTTCGAGGTGTTATTACCGCAAAGAAATTGACATAACTACATACGCACTGTCGTCCACATATGTTTTAAACACGTTTTTGTGTTGTCCATACATGTCCATACATTTGAATATGATTCTCGTTTCTTTGCTTTTCTTTTTTTAAAGCAGTTTGGTGATGAGATAACTTTCTTCAGGCCGCAGCCTTATACCACCAATAAGTAAACATATTGTGCAAGACGCTAAAGCCCACGAACTAGATCTTTACCACAGATTGTATGCATAATACACATATTATCACGTACGAAGGCAAAGGAGTGGCGGAATTCTACAGTTTCAGAACATGCTGATTCAGTGGATCGGTTCATGCGTTGCTGCACTGACACGTGCGCTTTTTTTCTTTTTTTTCCCACTGAAGCATGTAAAAATGTACCCGTGAAGCAAGTTTGCCCTTATTTGACTCAAATGCATTCCCTCCAGGAAGCAAAACGAATACAGTTATGCTTGGATCTAAGAATGTTGTGCTTACATCTCAGAATTGCCCATTCACGTAATCATTTCTAGTTTTATATAATTATATGATAGCCCATCACATAATTGTATCACACAAAGCATTTTTATTTTTCACGTTGATAAGGACTTGTTCTGCAATCCCAGTCTGCTGAGTAAGATAAGATAAAACAGCTGTTATTACTCCTACATATGGGAAATGGGCATTATTACAGCAGCAAAGTAGACAGATAATAATAACTGAAACAATAATAAAACAATAGAATACTTTATTATTTTGTAGGTCATATGATCTGATAGAAAAACAATACATAAATCAAGCGTTGTACGCGCTCTGGTTAAGCGGACATAAAGGTACAAGGAGTTACGTTGAATGATCAGTGGTTAAATTGATTAATTTTTAATGAATTCAGACAGACAGAGTATATCTTAAACCGTCGATGTGTTTGAAGGCAGTAAAATGCTGTGCGCGAGAATCAATTCGTCTCTCACTTCGGTTTAATATTTCATCCACAAGCAGACAAAACTGTTAAATATATGCCAACATGCTCCACCCACAGGCGAAAAAGGTAATTATGAGTTTAATAACAGCATTTAGGTTTCGTGGAGTTCACTCCTCCAGTCAGCAGGGGCGCACGAGTGACAGTAATCTATTTTGAATCGGGCAAAGGAAGGAGTGATTCTCCGTCCTCTTCCGGGTGGTGGTGCAGCAGTAAAGTTATGTTACTAATCGTTTGGCTGACACTTGTTTTTAAAGTAGATAAGCGACATTTATTACTCCTCATTGACTGTACTAATTCCGCCACATCTTTAAATGACTTTAGTGTACATTACGTGCTGGTCGTTAAGATCCGCCTCCTGAAATATGATTGGCTATCGTAGTGTGGTTTTAAGGTCACGTCATACCTTGAGCGACAGCTCGAGCTGCAGCTGTACCAACCGGTGATAGGGAGCTTAGCACGGACATATACAACTGAGGGGTAAGTTCCCTCGTTTTTAATGAGATTGGTTATCAAATAATAAATGTAACACCCGGACTTTTTCCTCACACTAAACATATTCGTCGAGAGATATCGACAGTAGAGACAAAATTGAAAGTGCACATCTACTTAAATTGTACTTCTTTATTTTGGCATAAGTAACCTAGCGAGGAGACTTAGAGTTAGCTAAGAATTTACATTCAGGTGTTACACACGCTCACACACTTGCGATATTTGCCTTGTGTTTCAGTTATTTTTTGGTATGGCCATAAATGAATATGTCTGAGTTCACTTTATTTTCCTCCCGTTAGATAACTTACAAATGTTACGCAATGCAAACTATGTAAGCAGGTGCAAGGCAGTTGTGTCAAAAAGCGAATACTAATGTTTCTACGTTTTTAATGTCTAATATGGTTTCTTGTGTTGGTTAATAGACTGTAGTCAACGGGATTTACGGAGGGGCTAAAATGAATTATTCCAATCTCTGCACTCTTTTCCAGATCTCTCTTGAAAAACTATTAAGAAACAAACAAACAAACAAACAAACAAACAAACAAAAAACGCCCAAAACACTTTTTACCTTATACTTTGTCACTTTGACTTGATATCGTCCATAAGACATGTGTTGGACAGATCATAGGCCAGCTAGTCATCTACAACAGTTTACCCCTAATCAATTCTTGGCAAATACCAGAAGTCACTGTTTGCTTTATCCTTCTGCAACTGTGACTCCCAGGCTGCTCTCCAAACCACATGCACAATGTGAAGCTTAACATACAAGACACCTAGAAGTATCATTAAATGCCTGCTTTGGATCTGTTAATCCCTTAACAGTGGATTTAAGTACCATTATTTCTCTTTTTAACACATTTGTGTAATATAGATGTTTTTGCTTTGTTATCACAGAGTTCTATTTTGTCAGCAGTTTGCTAGCGTTTCAAACACTGGATGGAAAACGTGTTTTTCATCTGCATCAAATGATTATCTACCTTAAAAGACACAAATTATTAAAACTATTAAAACAAACTGTCACTATCTTATTGTTAATGATGCACACAGGACTACTGCAATTTAGTTATATACAACTGAAAAACAGTTAATACACACATTTAAATAGAAATAAAACAATTTCATTAGCAACCAGTGACTTTTAATCATTCAAGTGTTTTAAATACAACTCTTTTCTTATTTCAAGTTCAACCACTTAACTCCAATTTAAAGCCTTATCAAAAGACCTATATAAATAAATAGCCGATTTAAAAAAAAAAAAAGAGAGAGAGAGAGGCAGTGTTAAGGAAATGCAGAAGAAATGCACAAATTATTCACATGTTAACAGTACACCCTTCCTCTTCCAGAGATACCTTCAGCTAAGGGACACACTATGACAGAGAAGAGGGTCTGAACAACAGCGAAGCCTTTTCTGATGTTCTGTGTGGATTCATGCTGATGTAAGAAACATTTCTTGTCACTGTAAATGCAGCAAAGTAATACAGATGCTATATTAAAATGCACAAATATCTGACAAATTACAGACAGATCTTTAATATTTGACCTTAATATGGGGTGCATTTGTTTCCTCTGTTATGGTATTACAGAAATCACCATTTGTAAGACATGCTGGCTTTTCCTTTAATTTGTGGCCCATCTGCATATTAACAGTTGAGCATACTGCACACTGCATTCCATATTGCATATGCTCACATACTGTGCTAAAGAGGTCTTATTGACTCGATAGGTTTTTGACTTTGCTGAGTGTTGATAAACCTAGTATAAATTTATAGTAAGAAGTACTCAATTAATTTGTTTCCATTGTTCCCAGCTTTTCTTTTCCGAAGCTGAGTAGAGCAGTGGTGCGTGTGAGGAGACTGGCAGCTCATCTCAGCAAGGCAACCATGTCAACAAACCTCCAGAGCAACAGTTCGTCTTCTGCAGCCAACGGGGATGCTCCTACTGCAGCTATTCTCATCATTGGAGATGAGATTCTTAAGGTGCTTTTGGTGTTGATAAAGTTTGTGCCTTGTGTGGCTTTTAAGCTATACGTGTGTGACAGCACCCAAATGAAAATCACTGGGAGTTTGTGCAATTGAGGAAATCAATATAAACTGGGGTTTTTTGTAATAGAAGTAGGAGCTTGCATTGTGCAGTGTTTATCATATACTGTAATCTGCATCCCTATGTGTTTGGACCTCTATCCAGTCTCTGATGTGCATTTCATGACCTCAGGGGGAGAAAACTGTGATGGTTATGTTATGTGGCAGCTGTGGCTGTTTCTGAAATCACAAGCTTACTATTTTTTTTTTGACTTGACATGATCATGATTTAAACATGAAGTATTTGATTTTTGTCCAGTGTCACATCTCTCTGCCTGAAAATCAGCCTTCAGTCCTTGAATTTCATCAAGCAAGACCTTGGAGTTTCCTTTTTCTTTATTTTTTTTGTGTTTCTTTCTTTTTTTTTAAGGTTCTTGAATCTGATGTGCATGTGGGTGTCTCTTTCAGGGTCACACAGTGGATACCAACAGTGCCTTTCTAACTAAAGCGCTTAGGAAGCTTGGAGTGTCTGTGCAGCGCATAACAGTCATACCGGATGTGCAGGCAGTCATTGCCAAAGAGGTGGCCCTCCTTTCATCTCAGTATACGCACCTCATCACATCGGGGGGTATAGGTCCCACTCACGATGACGTCACCTTTGAGAGTGTTGCCATAGCATTCCACGAGGAGTTATATGCCAATCCAGACCTTAGCAAGCTGGTTGAAGAATTCTTCGGGGTTGGGGAGAAAAACAGTGCCGCTATGAAGCTGGCAATGGTGCCTCGCTCAGCAAAACTTAACTATGGAACTGACCCTCAGACTGGGCTAAAGCACCGCTACCCTCTGGTGAGTGAACTCGGTACAGAGGAATTTTTATAGAACACAAAGTTACTTCAAATATATCCAAGCTACATGGTGCTGTTCAACCCATAACCTTTCTTTAAGGTAAACAAAAGTGACGGTGTTTTCTTTAGAAGACAGATTGCAAACTAACTAGTTGCTGAAGGAGTGAAAATAGCTTCCTGCAGTGGTCAAAACAATAAATACTCTGAGCACACACAGACACCAGGCATGAGAAGCATTCACACCTCTTACTCACAGGTCATTAAATTTGGACATTTTTCTCTTTAAGGTTAATATCTTTGGTGATTTATTAATGTGTTTCAAGTTGAGAAACATTAATGTACAGTATATTATTATTGAGAATTTACTATTGAGAATTTAAAATGAAACAATGAAGAACAGCCCTTAAAAAAAGTGCCCTGTCTCGGCAAAAGGTGGAGAAGGAGTTGGATACCATTCTCATGCTTGTTAGCTATAAATGGAACCCCAGACACCAGCCATTTACCTTAGCAAAAATAAATATCTGACATTTACAAAACTGTAAATCTGACCTCAATTGTTAGCTGTCTCTGGGTTGCAGAGATGTGATTTAATTCCTGCATCATATTTCAATAGTTTCAACAATGATGGCTCGAGTACCGCCCCACATCTTTTCTTACATTTTGATGTGTCTACCTTTTTCTCCCAGGTCAGTGTACGTAATGTGTACATCTTTCCCGGGATCCCATCTTTAATGGAGAAGGCCTTCAATGGGCTGGAGCATCTCTTTGCTGGTTCAGGGACCACCTTTCACACTCGCGAGGTAACTCCATAACCAAACCTGTTACTTCAAAATCCAGTCCAAGTCAGAATTTGTATACTTTTGTTTTTTTTCTAATTAATTTTTATATATTTATCTATTTTTTACTTTTTGTTTATAATAGAGTTTAGTACTTCCTCTATATTTCTGATATTTCCTTGATACTTTTAATGTATTTTACCTTTTAGTTTACTTTTAGTTGAGTAAAATAAAGTTGATTTGAATGCAGTGTTTAAAAAGTACAATTAAGTTTACCAGACATTAGCTTTTTTTGTTTTTAGGTGTTTGTCGATGCAGATGAAACAGACATTGCACCTGTGCTGACCAAACTGCAGGCTGACTGGGGCCGAATGGTGGCTCTTGGCTCCTACCCTGACTGGTTGAGCAACTATCACAGAGTTAGGCTGGTCCTGGACGCAGACAGCCAGCAGGAGGTGGACAAAGCCCGAATACAGCTGCTAGACAAGCTGCCCAAGGGGAGCGTGGTGCCCTTAGTCACAGACCCGGTGTCCATAGCCCCCGCTGAGGTGTACGGACTGGCCAACAGTGGTGAGTGTGCGGAGAGTAATGGAAGATGATTCTTAAATATGTGTCATCTTGATATAAAGTGAATACTGACTTGTGCATTTTACACAGGCATTGGGACCAATAAAGAAAGTTAAAATATTAAAGTAATTTAAGTCGTAAAGTCAGAGTGGATAATAAAAAAGAAGAATATAACTCTGTGAGACAGAATGGTGAATAGATTACAATAAAGCTTCAATAACTAAGCTATGACAAACTACTTGCAGCTTTTTTTTCTTTTCTTTGGATTAGACGTAGAAATGTGGGCTCATTTCTAAGATGCCTCACAGCTTGACTGCATTAATTATGAACCATCCTCTTACTGTCGATTCCGTCCTACAGGTACAGAGCTGGGTGAGAAAGTCATGTCTGCACTGAAAACAATAGAGGCAGCACTCCATCAGTATTCAACAGAGCAAATCTGTGTTGGCTTTAACGGGGGCAAAGACTGCACAGCGCTGCTCCATCTCTACTATGCTGCACTGAAACGGTAACAGGAGGGGAGAAGACGAGATGAGACAATTAAAACATTTTTGTGGATTTTTTTAATCTGTGAGGGGGGGAAAAAAAACAAATGACCTGAGAGATGAAAGATGAAAATGAAGATTCAAATTAAAAACATAATGATAGCATTAGCGCACAGTGGGGTGTGAGATCTCAGCAGGAAGTAAATGGAAAAAGAAAACTAGTTTGAGGGCAGCACTTAGAGAAAATCTTGGAGAAGACTGACTACTTTTTTGGACTTTTCATGACCTGTGCTGGACAGATTGTGAGATATGACAAATACTTATCTGATCTTTTTCTGTGCCAGCATTGCTTATCTTTTTAAAAAATGTCCCTTTTTTCTCTTCCTGTCACTCTCAGCCGATATCCAGATACTAAAGAAAAGGTGAAAGTCCTGTATATTCGTATTGTCTCTCCATTCCCAGAAATGGAGAGATTTCTACAGGACACAACAAAAAGGTGAGCTATCCACCATCTAGCTATCTATCCAGTTGATGTCATGTATTTTAATATATCCAGTCCAGGTCTTGTTTTGAAAAATGTGGCCTAACCCTGTCTGTGTGGCACCACTGTATCTCATTACTTGCCGTTGTATGTCCCAAAGATATAGCCTGGAGCTGTTCACTGTGGAGGGCAGTATTCGCCAGGCACTGAGCGAGGTGAAGGAACGAAGGCCAGAGCTAAAAGCCGTCCTGATGGGGACCAGGAGGAGCGACCCCTATTCACATACACTCACAGACATGTGTCCTACTGATCCTGGCTGGCCTGACTACATGAGAGTCAACCCCTTACTAGTGAGTGTCACACAGTATGCATGCCGTTATATTAGGACTGTATGCTGGCTCTACGTGGCGTGAGGCGGTATGACTCGCCTCGATCTGTTTTCCTTTACAATCGAGTACCACTAAATGTGCGTGGGGTTGTTAGAGCAACTTGGCCAAACATCCCGTAATGTCATTTGTACGTGACACAAACGCTACAACAAAGGTGGACATCAAAACGATGGTATACTTGCTGCTCAGTCTGTGGCTTTTTGTCAGACTGGGACCAAGTAGGTACTAAAAAAGTACCTGATACCAGATACTATCACCGAGGCGACCCGAGTAAGTACTAATGGCTATAAGATCATACCTCATGGTTTTCATTTTTAGCGCTTTTTCTGTTGCAGTGCTGTTTCTCTCTCTTTACTGAATTCATCTCTCTCTAGACTCAAATGAAGTCAAAGTACTTTCAAAATAAAGCTAAAAATACCCCAAAATACTTGAACAGAAAACAACATCATGCACAGATGGATTAAGACTTTTCTTCCATATTTACATGAAATACAACCATCTAGTAAAAAATGTGTATTTCCCAATTGGTTGGGAGTAGTTCCTGGAAGTTGCTTGTTACCAATTCCATCAAAAAACTCTCAACAATTGAATTTAATTACTTGCAGGTTGCCACGGTTCCATGTAGCTTTTTACCCCTTTAGCTGTAAAAGGCTGATGGGTTATTGTCACAATGAATATGCAAGTTTGTGTTACTTGAGAAGGAGGTGACGTGGGATTTTGAAATTGATACCATAGATGCAGCTACTAAAAATTTCAGAAGAGTTTGACTCCTTGATCTCAAGTTCAAGGTCAGAGGTCAAGTTTCCTGAAAATCTTTTGAATGTGATAATTTGATTTTGAAATTGAAGTCATAGGTGTATCTAATAGGAGGGATACCATTGGTAAGCCGCTAGTATTTTTCTTGTTTGTCTGCAGTACTTGCCAACCACGAGTTAAAGTAAAGGTGGAAGTAAAACTTGTTTTGTTGAAATGTACAACACAAATCGGAAATGGAGAAAATTCACCTTCAAAGGGAAAGTTGTGCCAACATATTTCAAAAGGCCAGAGCTCAGTTTCTGGATCGTGTCAAACTTTTCATAGTTTCATTACAGCTCAGAGAGCAGCTGGACTGTATTTGTAGACAAGTACGTCACTGTATGACCACAGCAACATGGTAGTGATTAAAGCAGTCACGTGGAGGTTTTTGTCAAGTCATTGGAGAATACACATTTTTCCTAGCGACAGATGTCACTGACCGATGTGTAAACCTGCATGATTCAGGCCTTAGCAGTCATTTTCCCAGTGACCACTCATAACCGGTCATTTTCCTTTCATGACCAGTGATTGTCAGATTGTAGGGTCGGGTAGTTATTATTCACTTATCCATTTGACACCACATTGTCACCATGATTGTCACATGTCTAAAACAGCAGGTGTAAAATAATGTGTCTGCAAAACCTCATGACCTGGGAAAGCTTCACTTGTTATCCTTGATGTTATTTGTCATCTTGATAAAAATTTCTGAATAATGCTTTATTCGTAAAGCTTTAAACGACTATTTTTCCTAAATAAACTCACACATAATGTGAGTGCACCAGTACATTAAAAGGCTTTCTAATGCAACACCAACGCAGAGTGAGGGATGCATGTTAACATTTCAACACGACAGGGTCACAAAAGTGAAATCATTGCAGTGCTTTTTGCTGAATAGCTGTAGCAAGCTCACGTCTTGTTCTTCTGTTTAGTCTGGCTGAAGAATGGATGTGCATAAGCGACATGGCAGTCGCCTGCTTTATTTGATTTTATTGTTAATGCTAGTACTGTGTCAGCTGCTGTGATGGAGCACATAGAAGCACAGGTACATTTAGCAGTTGACCTCAATTCAAGATAATTTATGTAGTGCTTCATCTCATGAGTATATCTAAAAGGACTCCACAGAGGATGAGTTATTATAGCTTGAACAAAGGGAGTCAGTTGCAAACCAATTACATTTGTTTTCTAACACTCTCCAGGACTGGACATATCACGACATCTGGGCATTCTTGAGGACATTATACGTGCCCTACTGTATTCTCTATGATAAAGGGTAAGGATGTGTTAGTTGTCTTTATTCAGGTGTACACAGCTTAAAAAGCAGATCTTTAGGTCTAAAATATCTCTGTTGAAATGTAGGTACACTTCACTCGGCAGTATGGACAACACCTGTCGAAACGAGGCACTGAAGATGGTGGATGCCAGGGGGGTGACACGATACAAACCAGCCTACCTCTTGGAGAATGAAGAAGAGGAGCGAAACTCCCGCGCTTGAAACAATCTGTGCTCGTCTTACTTAAGCTGTTCTTCATGGAGCCATTATTTTCTCTTTTTAAGGATGTCTGCTAACCATCCACCCTCATTTAATTCATAAGAAGGACCTTTTCAAAAATACCATGTCTGACTGCGGAATGAGATCACAGAGAAAATGTGTGTTGCTTGTGTACATGAGTCTAAAGTAATGGCTCTCTGTGCTGTTGAATAAAACATCTCTCCTTTTTTTTTTTTTCTTCTATTGTCATGTTACTTTAAGAGGGCTCTCACATACAAATGGGAATCTGCAGGGCATTCAATATAGCTCTTCACTTAACTTATTCATGCCTCCCTTTGTCTTATCTCTAAATCCAATAACAACACTCCACCAGGAAGACGGGCTCCATCAAAATGTATTTGTAAATAATGTAAAAAGGTTTTTCTCATCGTGGAGAGAACACCAGATTTGAGAAACTCCCTGATGAAGGCCACCCAGCAGGCTCTCGTTTGCTAATCCGTGTCTCCGACTGAATACCCAGAATTGCAGGCTGCAGCATGTTTAGCTGAGCATCTCCCCACCACACACCCGCTCGCTGTAGTTCTCTTTGAAGCCCTCACGGGCGCGTTGTTCTCACGTTTTCTATTTAGTGCCCGTGATTATAATAAATTACCTTCTCCGTTTCCAGACATGATTGAATCCAGGCTCATCGATCTGCGCTCTCCCTCTCCCCGCCTGGAGATTAGTCAACACCGCGCAGCGTGGATCAATACCGGCCGATCTAATAAAGCGGGTCGCTTACGAGGCCACCGCGGGGCTGCACACACTGTTACACCAGCAATTACCACTTCTAGGCCGTCCCTCATACACCCCCCTCCTAACATATCTGTCCTGGCTTCACGGCTTGCTTGATTTATTAATAATAACAGTAATAAAAGAGGCAATGAACAGCGGCTTTATAATCACAGCACCGATGTAATGGTGTGTGTTTTGGTGGTGCGGTAAACACACCGGGACATTGTCTGGAATGATGTTTTTGGGGTAGAAAATTAAGTTACAGTCTGTGTTAGGCCACTTCTAACTATAGCTGTATATGCAGCTTATATAATGTGAGGGGTTTACTTTTATATAGGTCTAATTTGTGCTTTTATTTATTTAAACTTCTCCTGTGTGTTTGTAGCACATATCCACCTTACTTTTAGGTTGAATCCTTAATTATGCATGTAAAAATGTATATAAATCCTTGTACATCTCATACTTTTATACATTAATGGCAACAATTGTATATAATAATTCGTTTTGAATGTATCTTGTGTAACTTATTTACTTGCATATCTGTATTTCATATTTCTATCGGCTTCTTTTTTCTTTTTTTTTTTAATCATTTTATTTTGATTAATTCTTGCTGTGTGTTAGGAGGAAACAATATCTGGATCTGGTGTATATCCTGTAAATATTGTAGAAGTTACAATAACGTTGTCTTTATCTTTGGTTAAAGATAAAATACAGTGCAAACACATCTAACCAGTGGTTTCCAGGCATTTGGTTTTCTGACCTCATTTACAAAAGAAGCTGTTGCCTCTTGCCACATTTCTGTAATTTTCCCATAAACATCTTAGTAAAATAATTTGTTAACTTTGTAAAGGCTCAAAGCGCAAAGTCTTCCTAATAAAAGAATTAATTTAAAAAATGAGCGATCACAAGGATGCATGGAACAAAAATAGCTCTTTATATTGTAAGGTAAAACCCTACAAAATTGCAAAGATACCCCAACAACCACACAACCCTCTATGAACAAGCACTTGGTGACTGCTGGAAGGGAAGTGTGGCAGAGCCATTGCTCTTTCCACTCTCATTAATCACCCCACAATCCCTCAGATTAGGTTTGTGACCCTAAGAGGGGTCCCTGAACGTTAGGAAGGCAGCCGCTTGAACTGCTAAGTAGTTTACTATATAAATTCTGAATACAGGACTTCGATTGAAGACTTCCAGTTAAGCAGAAAATCAAAGTTCTTCCACCACACGGGCAATAATATAAAATGAACTTGTGTTTTTCCAAAGTTTATCACTGCTGTACTTTTTCCTCCACTGGTTCATATTTCATTCTCATTCTTTTTCAGCTGTCATGTTTGTTTTGGCTGCATCAATCCACCACTGTAGCCAAACCAGTTTCTTACTCAATTCCTTTCTTGTGTATTATGACTCTGAATTCTTGCTCAGTCTTTCTTATGAAGTTCAAAATGATGTTTTGATTTTGGCCCAGAAGCCTGAGTCAGAAAAACCTCTTGGGTTACACAGTGAGAGGATATGCATATTGACTACAAGGGACCTAAAAACATATTGGAGTGAAATACTTTTTTTCCTCTTCCTTTTTGTGGTCCTTAACTGCATATTTATAAATATCTTATTTTGTACTTCACAATACTCTTCCAGGAACGGGGTTTATCTGAAAGCCAGAAAACTTCAAATAAAATAATCCTGACGTTCTGATAAAGCAACTTTTCTGCCATTTGAGACAAAGGGGAACAAGTAGGAATATAAAGTGGCTTTCTTCCCACCCTCTCCCCTTTGCACATTTAAACTTAATTGGTCCTCCAAAGACAGGTTTTAGGGTGGGTGGGGTAGAAGTATGATCAGAGCAGCCGCTTAAGGTGATGCGAGGATAAGAAGCTAATCTTGCTGCTCGCTCAGTACACTCCAGTGTTTCTCTCCATATCCCCCAGGTGGGACTGACTTATAAGAGGATCCACACAGCTAACAGTGTGTGTGATATGGACTCAGCATGACTTAAAATGACACTTAATGTGACTTTGTACAAAACATGTGGCAAGCTTTGATATCGGAGTGAACTATCCATCTGATGCTCAGGTGACTGTGATGCTTTTCTCTAAAGGAATATGTTCTTAATCCAATTCCTCAGCAGCTCCTGCAGTGTAAAACGAGACTTGAAGCACCATGAGACAGCAATTCAGGCGATGTCCTAGGAGGGATGCTTAACACAGAGGATGAATAGACAGACCGTTGTCAGAAAGCATCAGGAGAGAAGGGAGACCTTTGAGTCTATGCAAATTACCAGCCCATCTGCATGTAAAGCCAACCGACCAGAACACGGGAAATAGGATGTTCAGTATCAAAGTGTCACACATTAAAAGTGGATGAAAGTAAGTGAGAAAGAAAGGAAGGGAGGGACTGGGAGCAAGAAAGAGGAGGGAGGCGGCTTTGCTTGCTGCCATGTGAAGTGTGACTGACTTAGCTCATTTGTGCTTGGTTTTGGTATGTTCAAATAAAAGGCAGTTTCATAATCCTAAGTTTGTCACAGCTTCCAGGCCAGTACACAGAACCAAGACCCCCTGCTCATATCCACACACACACACACACGGGATGCATTCAGAAATGCTTTTCATAAGGCGGACTCGCTTTAATGTAAAGAACCAGGGTCTGTGAAGCTTCAGCCAGCACACTGAAAACTGATGAGAAAGATTCTGCTCAGCTCAAGCCGACTGGAGCTCATTTGCACTCAACAGCAATAACTTAAACACGATGTAGGCCGGTAGAAAGATGAGAGATGTTTAGCACTAGAAAGTCCGAGCCGATGTCAGACGATTCCTGCTTTTGAACTGGATTTGAAAGACTATGAAAACATTTTATGAGTTTTCTAAGCCCAATTTAATGTATCATTTCATATCCCTAATCAGGCAGCAAAACAAAATTCAGCCGTGTTTACCTCATTCAGCTGATATCTTCTTCAGCTTCTAGTATCAAAAACTGAAATGTGTGCAAATTATGTGCAAATTAATGGAGGAGAATGATAATAGGCAACCATACTCTGATTTACAGTCATGTGGCGAGATAAGTACCTCCAACTGAAACAGATTTTTTCAACATATTTGAGCAAGCAAGCACCTGTTCCTCTTTCCTCATAGATAAAAATGCTACACACAGAAACAAATGACATGTCATGTGCAATCATAGTAACAGGTAGATTCTGTCATATTTAACCTGTCTCTGACCCAAGGTATGGACGGTGTTATTTGCTCCAGATATAAAGAGCTCTCTAATATCTATGGATGTCAAAAAATCCTGCAAGGCACTGGGAAATATCTCCAAATGATCTGAATAAAATCATTCTACCTGTAACAAAAATTAGTGTCTCAAGTGGTGTAGATATTAAATCACTGCCAGTTTGTCCAGAACTGGCCACCTTATCAAATTCTGAACAGAATTTGAAACAGTCTCAGAGAACCCCAGAATGATCTGCAGCCAACTCATGCCACTGTTGGTATTATCAGCCACAGGTTTATGACCCCAACCCCCCAAAATATAAACAGAAACAGGTGCGGTGGTTAGTGCAGTTGCTGTTGCCTCACAACAAGAAGGCCTGGGGTCTTTCTATGTGGCTGGAATGTTCTCCTCATGTCTGCATGGGTTATCTCTGTGTATTCCAGTAACCCTAACCCCTTCTACAGCCCAAAGACATGCAGTCGATTGCGTTAGATCAGTTCCCCAATCTCAGTCCACGAGGGCCCGTGTCCCTGCAGGTTTTAGATGTGTCCTTGATCCATCACAGCTGATTTAAATGGATAAATAACCGCCTTTAAGTTCTCCAGAGGTCTGGTAATGAACTAATCATGTGATTCAGGTGTGTTGACCCAGGGTGAGATCTAAAACCTGCAGGGACACCGGCCCTCGTGGACTGGGATTGGGGACCCCTGCGTTAGATTAACAGGTGATTCTAAATTGTGCATAGGTGTGAATGGTTATCTGACTCATAGCCCTGCGACAGGCTGGTGAACTGTCCAGAGTGTAAAACACCTCTTGCTCTATGGCAGCCCTACTCAGAGTCGTGGTGGGGGGACAATAAGTGGAGGAAGATGAATGGATGGATAAACTGGTGGATGCGTGTCTTTGCTCTATCTTCCTTCCCTTAACCCCAACTGGTCACCGAGCCTGGTTCTGTCTGAGGTTTCTTCCTGTTAAAAGGGAGTTTTTCTTTTCCATTGTCGCCAAAGTGCTTGCTCACGGGGGAGGGGGTCCTCTGATTGTTAGCGCTTTCTCTGTATTATTGTAGGACTTTATCTTAGAGTATAAGGAGTCAGGAGGCAACTGTTGTTGTGATTTGGCGTCATACTAAATAAAAACGTTTAACTGAACTGAAAAATCGAATGAATAAACATTTTAATGGGCTAAACATTGGCTCAACTAGGATTTCTGCATCATATCAAGAAAGTTCCTGGGGGCTGTTTGAACCACAAGTAGA